AGAGAGGAAAGAAAAGGAAATAGAAGGAAATGAGAAAGAAAAGGGAAGAGAGAAAAGAAGAGAGGCAGAAGGGAAAGCAAGTGAGGGAGCAGGGAAGTAGAAAAAAAAAAGGAAGAAAAAGAAGAAGGAGACGGGAGGCAGAAAGAGAGGAAGAAAGGAAAAGAAAGAGAGGAAGAAGAGGAAATGAGGAAACGGAAGAGAAGTGGTGATATATATAAGACTTATACGGACCGAAATCGGTCCGTATAATCCTCATTGGCACGCCACACCAAAAAATTTCAATTTTTCCGCGAAAATTTTTGGCGCATTAATCATATTCAGACCGAAATCGGTTTGAATATAAATAAATTAGCGCAGAATCAATAAGATTCAAATTAACAGCAAAAATTTGGCGCATGAATTAATTACGGACCGATTTCGGTCCGAATATATTCGTAAAAAATCTTCCAGTGCACTTTTTTTTTCTTTTCATTTAAGGACATTACCATCTTCTCGTGTTCTAAATCCATTCCTGCGAAAACCAATTGCATATACATCGACCCTACAGTCCCTTGGAATCACAAAACCATCGATTGTCTAGCTAAAATTATCCTACGATATTATGGATTAATATCGTTGCAAAACCACGAACGTATAAGTTAAAGGTTATTAGAGATAATGTTACGTAATGTTCTTTTGAAGTAATAACCAAATAAATTTCATTTTTTTTCTTAAGGTTAACTACTTTGGCTTGCAAACATTCGGAATGTTACGGTTTAAAACAAGAGTAGAACGACTTAAGTATGAAATAACAAAAAAATAAAAAATAAAAGCTGTTGTTCATTGGAATATACGGACCGATCTCGGTCTGTATAGACATATACGGACCGGGATCGGTCCGAATATAGGCAATCCGAGGGATTTTTTTATCTTAAAGCTAAATTAAATTAAGTATGAATATATACGGACCGGTATTGGTCTGAATATATGCAAAGAATCCAGAAGCTTCCATGCTTTTCAATTTTCAGACCAATTTTGGTCCGAATATAGTAGAAAAAATCTAGAAACTTTTTCCAGTGCACATTTTTATTCTTTTCATTTAAGGACATTACCATCTTCTCGTGTTCTAAATCCATTCCTGCGAAAACCAATTGCATGTACATCGACCCTATAGTCCCTTGGAACCACAAAACCATCGATTGTCTAGCTGAAATTATCTTACGATACTACGGAGTAATATCGTTGCAAAACCACAAACGTATAAATTAAAGGTTATTAGAGATAATGTTATGTAATGCTCTTTCGGAGCCATAAGCAAATAAAATTAATTATTTTTATTTAGGTTAACCACTTTGGTTTGCAAACATTCGGAATGTTACGGTTTTAAACGAGAGTAGAACGATTTAATAATGAAATAAAAGGTAAAATAAAAAGCTGTTGTTCAGGGGCATATACGAACCGATCTCGGTCTGTATATATATATACAGACCGGTATCGGTCTGAATATAACGCCGTATATACCGGAAAAAAAATCTACAATTCACGAAATGTAACCCACGGGGGGAAGGGGAAGCTGCTATGAGGTAATATACGGACCGATACCGGTCCGTATATATTATCTACAGCCCATCACCAATAGAGCATAAAGAAAACTAATTTATTTTATTTAATAATTTTATAATATTACCAAATAATGCAAAAATATATTTTATCATTCAAATTAAAT